CCCCAAAACCCCAAAACCCCAAAACCCCAAAACCCCAAAACCCCAAAACCCCAAAACCCCATTTAAGGCTATTAGGTTTGAAATAATTAAATATAAACATAATTTTTGCTGATTCAAATGACTCTTTTGGTTTAAAACTGAGAATGCTTATACTTCTTTACCTTTGAGCTACCTCCTGTGCCAGCATGTTGGTGGGGGTCTTCAAACTCATCAGTGCCATTGCCATAATGATTATACTCAAATCTCTCTGGATCTTGCCCTTCCATGAGTAATTGAAACTCATGGGTACCAATAATAGATGACATCTCTTGTATAAAGCTACCTACATTAGTCTTCGAAGACTCTAATTTTTGTCTGAGCCTGTCATTATCTTCTTCAATCTCTTTGATCTGCTTGACCAGCATCTCACATTCAAGGGATTGCTTTTGGACTTCCAGTTTCTCTATGTACTCCTGGTGCTCTCTGATACGTCTCTGGAGGGACTCCATATCATTATCCTTTTTCTTAGTCAAGCCATCTAACTTTTTAATGGAGATGGATATTTCATCAGTTATCGATTTGAGCTTCTTGTTATTTATTATTCAAAATTCTTTGCTCTTTCTTCTCGCATTCAGCATGGAGTTTCCACTTCATGAAGTATTTCTCCCTTATGTCTGACTTCTCAGCAATCCGGAAGAGGTTCTTGAGACATCTCTCCGTCTTTGCGTTGGTCATGGCTTTGGATTTGGTAGCTATAATATTATTCTTCATTGCATTTTCTTTGAATTTTTGGAACCCTTTCTTCTTGCGAAGTTCGTTCCTCCAATCGTTGTTAGCCATAATCTTCTTGAGGGAAGTCTCTAGCTTGAGGAAGACAATTTGGTACTTGGTCATCATATTCATGGTGTCAAGATGGAACTGCTTCTTTTCGAATACTTTGTTTTGCTCTTCTTTTGTCACCTCCTTGCCACTCATTTTGTGTTCGAGGATTGCGTTCTTTTCAAGCAGAGCTTCAATTGCTTCACAGTATTCAGTCTTGGTTGTAGGGTTAGGGATGGTTTTTAGGTCGTCATCTCCGATAGTGACGTCAACTTCTGCAGAGAGGTTGTGAGAGTCGTCTTTATCGAAAAAGTCTTGGTCTGAAGACTCCATTTCAATATTATTTAAATTGAAAGGGGTTTTGGGGTTTTGGGGTTTTGGGGTTTTGGGGTTTTGGGG